TCTAATGGCTTAAAGCATAACCTCAAGGATTCAAAGACAACATGTTGACCTAATTTCATAGTTCAAATCATTCCTCAAGATCAATGGATTGATAGTTGAAATTTGATCAACTGATGAAAAGTCAACTGATGCACAAAAAGTCAAGCTTTGACTTTTCGATCAAGATTTGATTTCAAAGATCAAAATTCATCAAGAAATTCAAAAATATTAATCTTGATCACCAAGAAATCAAGAAATTCAAAAGTCAAGGTGAAAATTCGAACTTTTCAAGACTTGGAAATTTTTCTAAGTGTTTTATACATGACAATTTCATTACTTCATGCCAAATTTTCACCAAGATGCAAGATGATTCAAAGAAAACTTTCAACATGAAAGTTTTATATATTTATGAGATCTACAGCTCTTATTTACTGATAAAGTCCTATAAGTTCTTGAATTTTGAGTTATAAATTCATGAAGTCGTGCACTTTTTCTAAAACACTTAGTGAAAATTTAACCTAGTTTAGGCAGATTTTTAACCTAACTTCTTGGCCAATTTTCACCAAGCTCCAAGATGATTTTGTCAAAATGGTCAACATAAAGGTTATAGAGGATGTTTCAAGCTTCCCAAAATGTCCAAGAACTTGAAGTGACTATTCTTGAGTTAGAAGTTTCGAAGAGATGAAATTAGCCTCATAAACTTGAATTATAGGTCATTTTCTTGATGAACATTTGATCCAATCTCATAGCCATGCTGCATAATCTTGCTTTGCAGGCTTCTAACTTGTGTTTCACTCCATAATTAATTAATTAAATAACTGATAAAGCCATTGTCCAAGCATCAACTCTTGTAAGAAGCGCCCCATTCCATAAGAAGGTGTTAAAGTCATCACTCCTGTGCCCAAAAGCGATGACTTGTGGGGATACTGTTCTGGACTGGCCTAACAGCTAGAGTAAGCCCAGTCTAACCTCCTCCTATGGCTCAACGGCCCGGGCTCCCTGCCCTCCTTCAGGAACCATCGATCCTTTGCCCTCATGGACCAACACTGACCTACGATAATCGACGAACACCTCTCAGTCTGCCCGACCTCAAGTCGGCCAGACAACAAGGAATTGACTAGACTGCTTCCCGTGACCTACCTCCTCCTCGGAAATAACGACTAGTTGCGGGCACACCTGCCCGGTTTGACCAAGTCCTGGCAGTTACCTATTTTTGTGGACCCACATATCCAAGCCCAAAAATAGGGACCAATGGCCAAGCTCTAAGAGCACTATATAAACCCTCACTCATGTGAGGGCCAGGTATCAAATATCCACTATTCATCACTAAAACCCTAACACTTTGCTTGTATCTCTTTTGCTCCCACACTTACTTGATCGTTGGAGTGCCTTGCAAATACAACCCCTCTTTTTCTTCCTCGAATTTCCAGCCCGTCTGAAGATCATCATCCGGCCACCTTGCAGGTTCTGATCAACCGGTAAGATCAATTACAAAATAAGATATATCAAAAAAATCCAAACAAAAAGTTTAAGAAAATTTGTTTGGATATTGGGCCCTGCAACTCACAATTCCATAAAGCAATTTCTTTTCTCACCCTTGTATGTTCTCCCAAACTCCTGGCAAAAGTAAAAAATACCCTTTAAATTCACATATGCATCTTCGGACGCACCATTTTCCCACAAAATAAGCGCTAACTGTTGAGCATCCCTCACTTTGTTAAACTTTATTCAGAGATTCATCTTTGAATGTGTTTTAGGGTTTGTTCGCAGATGTGTCTCCGAATTAACCCTTGTTTTCAAACTAAGGGAAATTTTAGAAGAAGCATCTTCAAAAGTTTTTAATGTATATATGTCCCGTGCCAGACCCTCCCTCTCCTCCTTCTTCATTTTCTGAAAAATTTCTTCCCCCATTGGAGCTCGTGAGCAACCTTGTTTCAGTCAATTTTTGAAGCAACAAGAGAACCTCTACTTCAATCTTAGCAATCCCAACTCGCTCCCCAATCCATGTTGAACATTATTCATCCTTATCAACACTTATTTGAGTAAGTTTTTCATTTAACTTATTTTGATTTATGATTAATATATTAGGTAAATTAGTTTACTTCCAATGCATTAGGTAATATTATAATTAAAAATAGGTAATGTTACAGACATGCACTACGATTTTGATGCATTTGGGGTTGTTAGCGCAAAAATAGAAACTGGTTTTGCCATTGAATCTGAAGATGGAGCTTTTTCGAAGATGCAAATATGAAATTGGTCCTTTTTGGTTTTCGGAGACGCATCTCCGAATTCGGTCCTTCTTGGTCAAAATTTATAGAATTTCAAACTAATGTCTTTTTTTTATTTCTTTTCAAGAGAATGGCTGAAAACAATAACAGAATGAGACTCAGTCCTGAAACTTTAACCGTATCCGCTCGCTGCGAGAGTGCTCTTCAACATGATCAAGCCAGAGTTATGCGGTTCCTCGCCCTTAGGCCTCGTGACGAGAAATCCTCCTCTTCTAGGAATTACCTATCACATGGGTCCTCATTACAGGCTCACGTACACCAGGAGGAAGCCCCTGTTGCACGTGATGACATGTCTCCACTTGCAAACCCTTATCCAGGAGGGCCTATTGACACCTCATTAGATACATTATATAGACCATGTTATTCCAAATGTATGAGACGTAGAGGTATATTTGTTAACATTTGTTATTTTTTTGTTTTAACCAAATTCAATACGACTGATTATTTTATATATTCTTTTTTTAATAGGAATGAGATTGTTTGAAATCTGTTAACCATGCCAAAAATATTCACAGTCTTTTTCAGCCTAAGGATGTATGGTTCTAAAGTGTCATCAGATACTCTGATCTTGCCGGTATATGGTCTTCTGGGTACGCAACCATTAACTAGTGCATACAAGGGGCATTTGTAGAGAGATAGCATAAAGAAATGTCATATTTCCACTTCCCCATTGGCGAGATGACGATTACACTAGATGACATCACATGCCTTTTACACCTTCAATCAGGCGGAAGTTACTTGATCATTCTAAGATCAGACATGTTGAGGCCCAGGAGATGATGCTGATTTATTTGGGAGCTAACCCAATGGAAGCCATGATGAAGTGTGACAACACTAGAGGTGCTCATGCAAAACTTTCATTCTTGAATGAGCTTTATGAACAAAACTTGGACTTGGCTGAGGAAATCGACGATGATGAACTACATATTACCTACCATCAGGAGTGTGCTTTGAGGTGTTTCTTTCTATTATTGGTTGACACGTCCATGTTTGTGGACAAAAGTGAAACCTACGTAACTATGGCATACCTTAAGTATTTCATCGAATTAGAGGTCATTCATGAGTGGAACTAGGGGGTTGCATGCTTGGTATACTTGTACTCTAAGTTGAGCGAAGGTTCTCTTTGGATGACAAAGAAAATGCCAGGCTCCTGCATCTGGTTGATGGTAATTCTCATAGACTCTATTAATTTTAAAATTACTTTTTTACACTTGTTACTAATATTTTTTTTCTTATTCATTTTCAGGAATGGATTTTATCACACTTTCACCGCATACACAAGTTTGAACGTGTACTAGGGTATACCGAGGATTACCCATGTTCTTGCATGTTTTGCCCGCGTATAGGAAATGATGTTGTGGAGTCAATTTGTGTGTATATTCACAGGACTCATCACGGTGGCATTGACTGGACACCATACGCCGCTCACTAGGACATTATTCACTTCAACTCCATTTCATATTACTCCGTATGACTGGCATGTGAGAGTAATTTGATGTATAGGTATCTGCCAGAGCGATGCATGCGTCAGTTTGGATTTGTGTAGATCATTATGAGATCTCCCTTGGTGGTTGCTCCTATCAGCATCGTCTGCATAGATCTTGATAACATACTGACAAATTACGAGAGTCATCTGATATCAGAGGAGTATAAGAATATGTCAGCCATGAGTCAGTGACATAATGCTGAGAGTTACATGACTTAGTTCTATTATGTGTCACACTCTGTCATGACACCAAACGCTCCTGGACGTCCACCTAGGCCTACTCATGTGAAGATCATGGAGAATAACAGGTCAGAGATGACCATGTTGTTGATGTGTTATCAATATGTCATAATATTATGCGGATTACGGGATAAGATATAGAGTATGGGCTTTTTGATATAGGTGACGATGATGCGGCTGCGTGCATATTCCATTCTTACTGAGGCACATAATGCCTCCGTTTACCAATGACAAAGGAGATAATGATTAAGATTATGCAAACGCAGTAGGTTATGTATTTTTATGTGTTTTTAGATATTTTACCAATGTTTTCTATACTTTGAGAATTTAATGATTAAATCAAATTATGAACTATGTTGTATTTAAATGACTTTGAATTTAAAAAAATATAAATTTGGACAATATTTCTGTCCATAATACATGCAAGAAAGTTTTATGATATATATTTATGAAAACTGCTATTTTAGATATGCATATCCAAATATACCATAAAAATATTTGTAATTATATCTTCAAATTAAATTTTGACAAAAATAATTCATAATACAATCGAAAATACATCTCTAAAAATTAATTCTTATTGAAGGGGTGGGAAAGAAATTGCCATTCTAGAAATTTCAGACGAAAAAGTGGGCCTATACTATTTAAGGCTTATTAAATCTCTAGGTCCAAGGGAATCCATTACGTTGAACAAGTAGTGTAATCGAAAATGTAGTTTTCCAAGTTTTGACAATCTAAACATGACAGTTTTCCAAGTCATATACAATAAAGTGAAATTTTAACACAGTTAGACATACTTAATACTTATATTATAACAAACAAAATCAATAATATGAATCCATTCCTTCAACTATCTCCCAAATTCTAACAGTAATTTACTTGTTTATTCTTTTTGTGTATCTACTCACTAACAAAATTTCTTTGGAACTTACATTTTAGATTTACACAACAATATCTAAAAATAAAAATAAAAGAAAGTATACTATGTGTCTCCATGAAATGAATCAAAACGGCATGATATGTGATGTCTTGGTTTCATAAGAAGAAAGACACGATTTGGAATTAACCCTAAAAATCTGCAACAAATCCGTACACATTTGGCGAACCTGAGGCGAACAATACCCCTGTATCAACAACAATATCTTCGTTAACCCATTCGCCTGAGTAACCGCTTCTTGCGCTTTCTGATCCCGAAACAGATAACAAACACTCCACAGTATCGTCACCGCGTGCCCCGTCGCCACGTTCGACACCTTCAAAACTTTATTCAGTATCGCCGCCACGCACGCCGCGTCCTCACACATCTCCTTCCTCCCCTCACTCGTCGTCGACGCACTCTCCACCAGCTTCAACGCCTTCTCCACCACTTTCACGCTCGTATTAGCCTCCGTTAGTAACCTCGACAAAGTCTTCATTGCTCCGAATTTCACCAATTTCACCTTGTTCCTCTTCGGTTGCGAGATCGCTACTAAGCATGATAAACAGTTTTCAATCACCTTCGGATCTTTCTCTGGTTTCGATAAGTTCAGTAATTCAGTCACCATAGCATTATTCTCAGCTATAAGAATCTGTGATTCACCATCAAGAGCTATGAATTTCAACACCCTAGCTGTAGCGATTCTCGAATTATTGCTTCCTCGTCGTAAAACAAGAACCATAGAATCTAAACATTTATTGTTTCTCCCTTTCACCTTCAACACATGGCTTTTAAAACCCTCGCGATCTTGGATTTTTTCCAGAACTAAACCTAACACTGTTAAAACTTGTTCGAGAAACTCAATGCTCTCGTCAACATTGTCGAGGAAAGTAACCATAAGAGAAACAAACCCGTCTAACTTGGCGAGAAAAGTTCGGTTCTGATCGGAATCCTGACCGAACCGAACCACTTTTGTGATTAAGCCGAGCTTGTTTATACGGTTTAGACCGGATAAATGAGTGACGGCTTGAAGGAGTTGATCTTTAGAAGGAACTGAAGGTAGAAAAGGCGGTTCGACCCGGCGATGAACCGAGTCGGTCCAGATCTGGATGAGACTATGTAGAGTTCGGTTAGGAACGAAATCCTTAGTTTTGAGAATCTGCATGGTTGCAGGACAGGTGTTATTGCCGTCGTCTAGCCAGCGTTGGATACTGGAACGGTCGTAGGTGACACCGGTGCAGAGGCTAACGGGCGATTTCATGACGTCAAGGGAGATTGGGCATTTGAAGAAGGTGGGAACAGTGATGCATAGATCAAGAGCTTTTTCTCTTTCTTTAACCATGGTGGATGAAAGTGGAGGAAAAAAAAGTGAGAGTTGAGAGGACAAGAGAAGAGGGTTGTGTGAGATATGTGAGAATGGAAGGGGATATAGAGGGATTGATAGGGAGAGTCAAAGGTGGGTGACGTAAGATGCTTTGCTTTTTTTGTTTTTTTGGTATTAATAATGATAATATATTTATGTTTGTTGTTGTTTTAGGGGTCTTTGGTCAACGATGGAATTGTGGTGGGGTGCGATATTACTGGGTGATTGTCTGGAGATAGTTATCCATTGGATCTTGGCTGTAGTGTGATGAAAGGTTTGGATTAGAATGGGTGGCACGTGCAGAGTGAGTGGATGGAGGGGAAGTAAATGCTTATGATGAGGAGTGGGGAAGCTGTAGAGGGGAGAACGTGGGATGACACGGATCCAATTCAGAAATCATATACTACTACTAGTATTTGGTGTGAATACATTTTCATACTTAGTGGCGAACCCGGAAGACACCGGATTAAAAAGAGTGCAAAAATATATATAATTTAAAATCAATTTCTTTTTTTGTGAATACATTTTTCATACTTAGTGCCGAACCATAAGACACTTGATTACAAAGGAGTGTTCAAAAAAATAAATCAAAATAAGTAAACTAAGTGCAAATAAAAATTAAATAAAATTTAAATACAATTGTTTAGATGTGATTTTTATTATTTTTAATGAAAATATTAATATATTTAATTATTATTTAAAGAATTAAAATAGAAGAAAATTACATACGTGTAAGAGAAAATTATATATTTATCATATTTTCATTAGAAAATAGTAAAAATCACACTGAAAGAACTGAATCTAAGTTCTGTCCATAAATTTTTTAAGGAATTCAATATATGTTGAATGTTCATCAAAAAGGGAATCAATCTAAAGATTAAGAGATCATGATCAGACAATAAGATGTAGCTGAAGTAAGTTGTTGCTTTCAACTCAATCTAAAGATCGGATTTTTAATGATCAGAAAGAAGGAATTCAACATCAAAATTAGATGTACTGATATAAGTTGTTGCTTCAGAAATTAGACATCAGATATGCAACTTAGAAAAATTAATTATCAAGAAATCAATACAAGACCAAGAAGTCAAGATCAGAAAAGCTTTCACTCTCAAAGAAGACATTGTTTATCAGATAAATTGTTGCTTATATATCTGAAGACAATATTAAATTATCTAAAGGACTCTGACTATACACCAATGAAGAATCTTCTGAATCATTATTACCCCTCAAATCAGAAACAATCCTGCAAGAAGAAAAGAAGACAAAGACAAGATCAAAAGTTATCTTCCAAGTTTACTACTTCAAGCAAAAGTAAATCATCAGAAGATAAAGTCTTAGGAAACTTAACCATGAAGGTTATAGTACAGTCAATACGTTTAAAATATTCCACTACTTGCTTATGTGTTGTACTATGTTGTCTCCCACGATGAAATGCTACTGTTACTGAAGCTGGCAAAGGAAAGCGACATCTTCATATCACCAACGGTCTTACTCTCAAAGCCTATATAAAGAGATTTCTTCAGCATTTGAAGGTTGGAAAACTATCAACCATTATCACTCTTGAATCAAATTTCTGAAATACTATAAAACACCAAGAGAAAAGAAGAATCACTATTCATATACAAATACAAATATTCTTTTAGAGAAATATCAAGAACACAGGAGCTGATGCTCGTTATTGTGTTAAGATATTAAGGTTTAAACACAAAGAGTTATTGCTCATTATTTGTGTGTTAATCTTAGAGTTTTTAATACAAAGAGTTGTTGCTCATTATTTGTATTAGAGACTTTGTTCTTCATAGTTATGTTAATTTGCTTATTTAGAAGCAAACATTGTAAACACAATTAATTGTAATTCTGTTAAGAATTGATTATTACCTCAAGTGACTAGGTTGTTAGTCTGAGACTTGAGAGGTCTAAGGTGTCAGTTAGACTCTTAGACGGTTGTGGTTAGTAACTGGCGGGTAGCCCGTGCATTTGTAATCTGTTGAGATTAATGGATTAAGTCCTTGTTGAAGGCGAAATCACCTAAGGAATATGGACAAGAGTAGCCTAGTTAGAGGTGAACCTGGATAAACTAAAGTGTCTTTTATAGTTTTTCCTTAGCCATATTCCTTCTAGTTTATTTGCGAATAAAATTTCATAAAATAGCTTATTAGAAAATCTAATTCAAACCCCCGTTTCTTGTATTTTTCTCACCTTCCAATTGGTATCACGACTCCAGATCTTCATTGATTTGTAAATCAAACACTTAATCGTGTAGAGAGATCCAATTGAGAAAAACTCACTATGGTTGTGCCTGCAAACAACAATGAAAAAGATAACTACTTTACTAAGCCTCCTATTTTTATGGTGAAAGATTTGAGTACTGGAAAGACAGACTAAAGAGTTTCTTTCTGGGTTATGATGCAGATCTCTGGGATCTAATTATAGAAGGTTATGAGGAACCTATATTTCCGATTGGTATGCCCATTCCAAGAAGCAGAATGAGTGAAGATTAGAAACGTAGAAGCAAAAATCATCATAAATCTAGAACCATTCTTCTCGGTGCTATCTCATATAATGAATACGAGAAAATCACCAAAAGATAATCATCTAAAGGGATTTTTAACTCCTTAAGAATGAAACATGAAGGCAATGCTCAAGTAAAAGAAACTAAAGCGTTAGCTTTAGTCCAGAAATATGAAGCCTTTAAAATAGAAGAAGATGAAACTATTGAAACTATGTTCTCAATATTTCAAACACTAGTAGAAGGACTTAAGGTTCTGGACAAGAGTTATACAACAGCTGATCATGCAAAGAAGATTATCAAAAGTCTTCCAAAGAAATAGAGACCAATGGTAATTGCACTAAATCTCTTCAAAGATCTGAACAACATTAGCCTTGAGAAGTTAGTAAGTTCTCTCAGGAGTCACGAGATTGAGTTAGAGGAAGACGAACCTTAGAAAAGGGTTAAATCAGTTACTCTAAGATCAAGAACAGAAAAGAGTAAATCACAGAAATAGAAAGCTCTCAAATTTGAAGAAGAGAAGACTCTAATGAAGATGCATCAGATGATGAAGAAGAAGAGTTATCACTTATTACCAAAAGGGTCAAGCAACTCTGGAGAAGACAAAATAACTTCAAAAGGTCTAGAAGGGATTGCTTAGACTCATATTTAAGGGGCAACAAAGAAGTTACATGCTATGAATGTAATGAACCAGGACATTACAAAAAGGGTTATCCAAAGCTGAAGAAAGAAAAATTTAGAAATGAAAGCTTCAAGAAATACAAATTCAAAGGTAAAAAGAGAGGTCTTATGGAAATATGGGATGATTATGAAGCATCAGATTCTGACTCTAAGAAAGAGCATGCAAATGTGGAATTCACAGGCATCATGTCAGAAGGGAAGTGCATCAGATACTGAGTGTAACTTAGAAGAGGTATTTTCTGACATCTCTCATACTTATTTTGAAATAATTGTATCTAGATATTTGACTAAGTATCAGAAGCTTAAACAAAAACTCAATAATCTTGCAAAGGTTCATGAATTTGAAATCAAGAAATATGAGAAGTTAAAAGAAAAATTTTCTGAACAAAAAGATGATCATCTGATCCTAGAAAGAGTAAATAAGTGTCAAAATAAAAAAAAATACTTAGCACTAAAAAAACTCTTTCAAAAGCTTCATCATCCCCTGATACTATTTTACACAAGTATGATAAAGCTTTTCAGAGATTTTTAGACAATAACCTGGATAAAAACAAAATGGCTTCCATGATTTATGGTATTAGTCATAATGGCAAAATAGGAATTAGTTATGACCCTTATAAGGACAAAACTCCACCTCACAAAAAACCCCTTTCTCCATTTTCTTATTTGTATCCACTTGCATAAACCCAAATAGCTAGAAATGCGCAAAAACCCAAAGTTGTAAGATACTCTGGGAAAACTAATTCTAGAGGACCCAAATGTTTCTGGGTACCAAAAGATAAAATAGTGTATGTTGCAGATATGTTACACCAACTGAGCAAAGAAAACAGTTATGGTATCTAGACTCTGGATGCTCGTGACACATGACAGGAATCAAGCATATATTCCAAAGCCTGGAACTTAAAGATATTGGTTGTGTAGGGTTCAGAGGAGATCATAAAGGAAAAATAAAAGGTTCTGGAACTATCGGTAATGGAACTCTTCCCTCCATTTCTAATTTACTAAATTCACAAGTGCAAAATGAATTTAATTCCAAAACTGTTAAAGTAAGAAGTGGTCATGGAAGAGAATTTGAGAATAAAATTTTTGAAGAACAATTTGACTCAAATGGCATATCCCAATATTTCTCCTATCCTAGGACTCCACAACAAAGTGGAGTTATAGAAAGGAAGAATATGACGTTACAAGAAATGGCCAGAACCATGATAAATGAAACAAATGTTGCTAAGCACTTATGGGCAGAATATGTAAATACAATGTGTTACATTCAGAATAGAATCTCTACTAGACATATTCAGGAAAAGACTCTGTATGAGTTATCCAAAGGAATAAAACCAAATATAACTTACTTTCATTCTTTTGAATGCACATGTTTTATTTTAAACAATAAAGAGAATCTGCACAAGTTTGATTCCAAAGCATAAAAATGTATTGTGTTGGAATACTCATAACGCTCTAAAGACTATAGAGTATGCAATACAAAAACAAAAGTTGTGGAATAATCCATTCATGTTAGGTTCGATGATAAGCTTGACTCAGAAAAGTCAAAGTTATTTGAAAGTTTCACAAATCTAGAAATATTTCTTCCTGATTCTGATGAAAATGCAAAGAACTCTAAATATGAAAGCACTAACAAAAAGAATCAAGATGATGAAATATCTGACACATAAGCACCAGAAATCACACCTGTTCAGAAAAGGTGAAAGCATGGATTAAAAGTTTCTTAAGAATTGATTATGGGAGATAAGACTGAACCTGTCAAAACAAGATCCACTTTTAAGAAGACTGA